CAGATTTGTGGCGTGGAGGCACCAGATCACTCTAACTTCTGCTGGAAATGCGGGGCGTCTGTAAAAGACGAGAAAGACGGAGAAAATAAAAAGAAAACCGTAAGTTTCATGGAATTCAGAAAGAGGAAAGAAGCGGAACGATCATCTAGATTCCAACGAAAAAGAAGTTGAAGTCAGGAAGCAGTTCGACCTCCAAGACGAAGGGAATAGAGGATGCACAAGTGAGCATCAACGTCAGGTTTATGAAGTTCGAAGGTGACAAATTTAAAAAGTGTAGGGGACGAACCCTTCCTGTCAAAGTGCCAGTGACTGCAGACGTAAAGACAATTTTAGAGAGAAGCATTCGTAAACATGCAAACCACTTCAAAGATGTCCATGAGACCTTAGAATACACACTTATTTACCCCGATAACAGTGAAATAGTGCATCTAGCAGGAACAACTGAGCAGTTCGTCCTTAATAAATACAGAGAAGATGTGGGAAGGAACTATAACCGTATTACTATTTTCATTGCGAGCAAAACAGATTACATGAACAATAATTTATTTGAAATTGGCGAGAGTCTTGAAACAGAATCTTCTGACAACAACCATTGCAGTGAAGACGACAGTGATCGAATAATCGATGATGCCGTCACCAAAGAACGTTCCTTTCAACAGAGACGAGGGAATTGGAAACAGACAACATTGGATGAAGTGAACAGACCAAGCACGTCTAATGAAATTGCATTGCCAAGTAGTAATGGGGATCAAAAAAGACAATCGTCTGTTGCACATTACATTGAATGTCCATCATGCTTCAAAAATTTTCCTGTTAATGAAATTGCAGAGCATGCTGATAGGTGCGTGGACATCTGGATTGGTGAGGTACAAGTAGAAGACAGTGAAAACGAAAGTGAAATAGACACTGATCTTCCTGACCCTGGACTTGATGTGGAACTGTCAGATACGTCTAGCCTGAGGAATATTGCTCAGCAGTTAGCAGATATACATGTTAAGAAGGAACAACCCAGAAGAGTAAATGTTCGCAGAAAACACTTATGGATTGATTTCAAGGAAGCCAAAAAGAAATGGAACCTCACTGCAAATACACCTATTCGAGTTGTTTTTCTGGGTGAACCTGCAGTAGATGATGGAGGTCCCAAAAGAGAATTATTTTCAGGTAATTACCTTTCAATATCCAACCTGTATGAGAATGTTACAGCATGCCTATATATTCATTGATTACTGCATGAACATATCAATGATATGATGTACTTGTGTTTACCTATATAAGTACTAACTATTCAAAAGTTCAAAGGGGTAACAAGAAAAGTACATGCATGGATTGGTGTATGGGAAGATTTCTATGTTGCCTCCAACTATAAGAATAATTTTAACATTTCCATTTTTACCCCTTCTCATGCAATTCCATTTTTTCTTATATAATAAGAAACTACAACCAGCCTGTAGAGTGCCATATAAATATTATTATGCAAAAATGTTAATCTGAAGACAACATTACGAATACTTTGTTACTAGCTATAGCATAGCATAGTCTAGCATAGCAATAGACATACAGTAAATAACATCTGTCTGCAAGGAGTCCAAACCTCATGTTTAAGTCTATTTTAAATGTGCTATAATGAAAGTTCCAAAGTGACAGGTTGTGTATTGATGAGACCAACCCTAAACCATAAATAATTTTTAGTAGAAGTCTAATAAAAAATATGCAAATGAGTATTGACCTGATTAATATTCCTGGTATATGATACATCTGCTTTTAGAACTGTTGGAATATATTGAAGTAAAGTTGTTTGCAGATAGAAAGCCAATAAATTCAATAATTGGGCTTCAAAATGAAGATTTTAAGCTGGCAGGAGAAGTCATGGTGATGTCAATACTACAAGGTGGTCCTGCACCAGCATTCTTACATCCAGCTATATAGTTCCCCATCGAGAAACTCTCAAGTCTATTACAGGCATCCTTCAGTGAGTAATATAACATTTTGATTTCTGAAATTGTATATAAATCAATCTTAGTTAGCTAACTGAGGTTTTATTCAATTATTTTAATCCAGATCCATTTGTATCAAAAGTCAATTCATTAGTACTATGCCTGAACTGATGCAACTTGAGCAAGACTTGTCCGGTTGTGGTATTTTGGAAAGTGTCAAGAAGTGTCCTGAGCTTTGGAAATTTGCCTTTGTTTGTGGTAGTTCTAATCTGAAGTCACCAGATGAATTCCTTGATGACCTGGAAGTAAAATACAGCCAGTCGCAACTGCAGAAAGATAAAGAAATTGATGTCTTTAAGTACTTTTGCGAGTTCATTCAGTCACTAGAGTTTGATGAAGGTGAGGGAAATTCACGTCATTCACCTCATATTGATTTGTTGTCAGACCAGCTTTACTTTATCAATGTGTTTGTGAATAAACAATTGTGTAGCTGGAAGGCCTCCAGTTTCTACACTCCTGATCAAAAGGACTGTATTACGTACATTCCTTAATTATTTAGCTATGGTAAATAATATAACATATAAGATGCTTAACCTCTAACCTATAAGATGCTTAAAGAGTAATGTCCTATGGATGGCTAGCCAAATTTGATTTTGAATTCAATTAAGTTCATATTGTGCAAAAAAAGGCATCGCTGTGCTTTTTTTACACTTATCTTTATTGCTTGTAATATTACAGAAATATCTATAGCGGATTTACTAAAGTGGATGTCAGGAACTAAGACCACTCCAGTTTTGGGATTTTCAAAGAAGAAGACTTTAGTATTTGTTCATGGTTGTAAAGAAGGGTGCCGTTGCCGTCCAACTGTGTCAACTTGCGACCTGTTACTTAAGGTACCGGTTCACATTACCAACGAAGAAGACATGAAAATTATGATGACCTCTGCGCTCAAAGAATCGTGTGGCTTTGGTTTCATATAAATCTACTTTGTTTAAGTGATTTCACTACATACATATCACACATGTACAGTACTTTTTAAAAGTAGCGAGTTTAAGATGCACCAAAATCTACGAGCGGACGTGACATGAAAACAGCTGCTTGACATGGGGGCGTAACTAGAGTGTTAATTGGGGGGGGGGGTTTCAAATAGCCGTTAAATGCGAATAGCACGATGTTTTAGAGACATAGCGTAGAAGCAACGCCTTTAAAACGTAATCGCACAATTGTTGAAATTAACAGGACAACTATTCGCAATAACGGTCTATAATTGAATCCGCAGTATTCTGTTTGACGGATTTCTTTTGTACGCATACGTGTTTTCAAAAGAAATCCGTCGGGCAGAGCAGAATATATGAGTATTCACCCGAACAAGGTTGTATTCCTCAATTCAATTAACGCTCCATGCTAATAGTGTTGGGAAACTATTTTTAATTTGCTTTTTATACGGCTCTGACTTTGTCTACAAAAAGACATCTATAATTTTATACCTGTTGTGAATTTTTGAAAATAACGGCAAGGGCAGTATTACTTCACGTTTGCATCGTAGATTTGGCGCATCATGTTAAATGTTCACATTTTTATTGCCAATGTTAAATTAATATTGTTTAAAATGTTACAACTTGTTGTAGCGTTCTAGGTTTTAATAGAGTACACTAGCCCTACCTGGCTCTTGGCTACTAAACTCACCAGTTGCCCTAATCTCTTATTGTTTGTAAAGAACTTGGAGCAATGCTTTGTCTGCGTGCTTTGTCTATGGTGTTATATAAAGTTTATGTAATACATACTATATGTGTGCTATAGCAATAAAGTAGCATTCAATATTAACACTAATTATACAGGAAAATGTAATGTTAAAATCCCCCATTCAGTATTTTCAAACAGGTATAACTGTATTTTACTGCAAAGGGTTAACAACAGCTATTAAATACTCAAATAGATCATGTGCTTCTACATGATTCGCTGGATAAGGTAAAGCTTCATTGTCCATTACATAGTGGAAGTATTCTTGAAAAATATTCATCTCACCATCAATAACCTGAATTTGTGCATGGTTTTGCACTGCCGCTGTTTGGTCATTTGTAACAGGGACTTTACAGTCTGCAGCCCCTGAACGCTGAGGCAGAAAAAACAATACATCAGGCACACCTGGAACAGTACCATACTTTGACCGTTGTATTCGATGTGTGTTCCAGTGATTCTTGACTTTATCCAGGTCATCTTGTAAAAGAGACTCAAAACAAAACCAAAGACATTCAAGGTGAAATTCACTGCCAATATCAAGTACCTCAGTTGCTGCCATTTCTTTAAAAAAATCAATCCACCATGAAGATCTTCCCCTAGGACCACCAAGCTTCTATACGTTGGTTACTCGGAGATGTCCCATATTTGTGGGACTTGGACCCTGAAAATTCATCACTTCCATGCTGACGAAAATATGCTTGGATTGCAGCCATTATCCCATTTTCTGTTCCACAATCAGTTCGGAGTAGCATGGGACAGCCAGAATGTTCTCTGACACACTCCAAAAAAAAATTGATCTTGTAATATTGATCTTGGTAATTTTTCGAGTCCTCCAAAATATCTGTATTTTTATTTCTCCAAGCAGTGTAAAGCATCATCTGTCCCAACCAAGCAACAAAATCAGCAAGACATAACTTTTCCAATTTCTTTGGTCTTCTCTGATACCTTTTAATAATATTATCTGACTCAATATCAACAGAATTATCAGGAAGTTCTTTTATTTTATCCATGCTTTTCAATAAGAATGTCAGACGTATTGATAAATTGGAATTCTCAAGATGATTAAAAACATATATATTATGTTACACTAGTAAAATATTAAAAGCAAACTTTTCCAAGCTTTCGGACGAACGCGTCCATCATCAGGGAATAACTGGCGTAAAACAAATTCTAGCCTTAAATACGGTCTACAAATGTGCATACATTAATAATTATACAATAATAATTAAGCCTAAAGTTAAAACCTATTATAAGAGGAAGGGTACCAAAAGCCCAATTATATAACACAGTACTCTCTGTTTAAAGAATGACAATAGTTCATAGTTCTTATTTCTTTAAAATCGGCTTATAAACGTCAGGAAGTATCCTACCATTATCTCTGTTCGAAATACCGTTACCCGATTGCTCAATCATACATGCTTCTTTCCATTTACGTTGCGCCCATCTGCTCTCTTTACATAATAATTTTGAATCGTTCCATGCTATACCATGCTCACAATCATACCCATGCTTAGCCAAAGCTGACTTTTCAATCTTCCCTAAACGGACTGCTGCCTTGTGTTCCTTCTCTCGCGTTCCAAAAGCTCGTCCTGTTTCACCAATGTATTCTACATCACAGCCCGCACAGGGGATGCTATACACCACCCCTGTCTGTTCTTGGATTGATAATACATCCTTTGGTTTTACTAACTGTTTTTTCAACGTGCATACCGGCCTCATTGCAACTTTAAATCCGTTTTTAATTAATGTCCGTTTTAATCGTTCCGTTGTACCTTGAATATACGGAAGGACTACTAAACCATTGCCCTTATCCAGGTCTGTTGGTTGTTCAGCATCGCCCACTGATAAATTACCACTTCCAATTTCCCTACAAATTCTCGTTAACATTTCTTTAGGGTAACCGTTGCCTCTCAAAACTTTATATACTCGTTTCTCTTCTTGCTTTTGCTCCTTCGCATCATTACATACGCCAACTGGCTCTCTAAAGAGTGTCCTTGCAACCGCATTCTTATGCTGCCTTGGATGATGGGAATCGAACGGTAAATATCGATCCGAATGCATCGGCTTTCGGTATACCTTTGTGTGGACCATACCATCATCACTAACTTTATTTAGCGTATCAAGAAACGCAAGGCCTTCCTTCTTATTATATCTCTCCACTGTAAACTTAATGTGATCACTTTGAGTGTTCAAATGGTCATGGAAGTTAGAAATCTGCGATTTCTTCAGTGCTGTGATCGTGTCATCCACAAATCTGTAATAAAACCTCAGACTATCAACAAAAGTATTCAACGCTTTGATTTCCAATTCTTCCATCACTAAATTAGCCACAATCACCGACACCGGTGACCCCATTGCTGTACCATGTATTTGCTTATAATATCTTCCTCTGAATTGGAATTCTGTCGATTTTAGACAAAACTCCAAGAGTTCAACAACATCCTGTGCTAATAATGACGTCCTTTTTACTAATGTTAAATCCTTATCCAGTCTTGAAGCCGCAATCTGAACTGCTAATTCCACCGGGATTGAAGTAAATAATGCCACAACATCAAACGACACCATTTCCTCATCATCTTCCAACCGGAACTCACTTACTTTCCGAACCCACTCATATGAATTCTTTATAAGGTGCTGAGAGTTACCAACAAGTGGAGATAAAATACCACGTAGAAACTTTGACAACTCGTATGTTGTAGAGCCAATAAAACTAACAATAGGTCGTAATGGTATGCCATCTTTATGGATCTTTGGTAACCCATAAGCGCGGTGTTATACCATCCGTCGTCCTTAACTTTCGGTATAACTTTTTTCCCAGCTTTTCTTTCTTTGTAACCAAAATTAATTTCAATCGCTTTTCGCATTCTTTTGCTGGATCTTTATCCAATAACATGTATGTCTTATTGTCATTCAACATATTGTTTATTTTCTCTTCATACTGAATTCTATCCATCACCACTGTCGTATTACCTTTGTCTGCTTTCAAGATCACTATTGTTTCATCCTCCTTTAAATCCCTTATAATTTGCCTTTCTCTTTTAGTCATGTTGTCCTTTGGTAACTTCGCCTGTTTCAATATACTAGCCGTTTCTGTTCTAATTTCAGTTTTTTGTATCCCATCTAGACTGTAAATTGAACTTTCTACCTCGGCAATAATATCCATAATCGGAACACGTTTTGGTGCCATTGCAAATTTCAAATCTTTTTGTAATACAGAGCATTCATCGGTTGTGAAGTTTCTACTCGAAAGATTTTTAACCCACTTCGACTTATCTATAATGATATTGTCCCTATTTCTTGAACGTTCCCACGCTCTCAATTTCTTCTGATGTTTCTCAATCGTAATCGTCTTTAGTTCCGTAAGATACGAGTCAATCTCTCTCTGATAACGACGCCATAAACGATCTCCACACCCATTACGAACAAGATCACTCAAGCTTAAAATCCCTTGCTCGAGCCTTTTAATCGACCTGTGATTTTCGGTTATACGAAATTAGAACAGAAACGGTTAGTATATTGAAACAGGCGAAGTTACCAAAGGACAACATGACTAAAAGAGAAAGGCAAATTATAAGGGATTTAAAGGAGGATGAAACAATAGTGATCTTGAAAGCAGACAAAGGTAATACGACAGTGGTGATGGATAGAATTCAGTATGAAGAGAAAATAAACAATATGTTGAATGACAATAAGACATACATGTTATTGGATAAAGATCCAGCAAAAGAATGCGAAAAGCGATTGAAATTAATTTTGGTTACAAAGAAAGAAAAGCTGGGAAAAAAGTTATACCGAAAGTTAAGTACGACGGATGGTATAACACCGCGCTTATATGGGTTACCAAAGATCCATAAAGATGGCATACCATTACGACCTATTGTTAGTTTTATTGGCTCTACAACATACGAGTTGTCAAAGTTTCTACGTGGTATTTTATCTCCACTTGTTGGTAACTCTCAGCACCATATAAAGAATTCATATGAGTGGGTTCGGAAAGTAAGTGAGTTCCGGTTGGAAGATGATGAGGAAATGGTGTCGTTTGATGTTGTGGCATTATTTACTTCAATCCCGGTGGAATTAGCAGTTCAGATTGCGGCTTCAAGACTGGATAAGGATTTAACATTAGTAAAAAGGACGTCATTATTAGCACAGGATGTTGTTGAACTCTTGGAGTTTTGTCTAAAATCGACAGAATTCCAATTCAGAGGAAGATATTATAAGCAAATACATGGTACAGCAATGGGGTCACCGGTGTCGGTGATTGTGGCTAATTTAGTGATGGAAGAATTGGAAATCAAAGCGTTGAATACTTTTGTTGATAGTCCGAGGTTTTATTACAGATTTGTGGATGACACGATCACAGCACTGAAGAAATCGCAGATTTCTAACTTCCATGACCATTTGAACACTCAAAGTGATCACATTAAGTTTACAGTGGAGAGATATAATAAGAAGGAAGGCCTTGCGTTTCTTGATACGCTAAATAAAGTTAGTGATGATGGTATGGTCCACACAAAGGTATACCGAAAGCCGACGCATTCGGATCGATATTTACCGTTCGATTCCCATCATCCAAGGCAGCATAAGAATGCGGTTGCAAGGACACTCTTTATGAGAGCAGTTGGCGTATGTAATGATGCGAAGGAGCAAAAGCAAGAAGAGAAACGAGTATATAAAGTTTTGAGAGGCAACGGTTACCCTAAAGAAATGTTAACGAGAATTTGTAGGGAAATTGGAAGTGGTAATTTATCAGTGGGCGATGCTGAACAACCAACAGACCTGGATAAGGGCAATGGTTTAGTAGTCCTTCCGTATATTCAAGGTACAACGGAACGATTAAAACGGACATTAATTAAAAACGGATTTAAAGTTGCAATGAGGCCGGTATGCACGTTGAAAAAACAGTTAGTAAAACCAAAGGATGTATTATCAATCCAAGAACAGACAGGGGTGGTGTATAGCATCCCCTGTGCGGGCTGTGATGTAGAATACATTGGTGAAACAGGACGAGCTTTTGGAACGCGAGAGAAGGAACACAAGGCAGCAGTCCGTTTAGGGAAGATTGAAAAGTCAGCTTTGGCTAAGCATGGGTATGATTGTGAGCATGGTATAGCATGGAACGATTCAAAATTATTATGTAAAGAGAGCAGATGGGCGCAACGTAAATGGAAAGAAGCATGTATGATTGAGCAATCGGGTAACGGTATTTCGAACAGAGATAATGGTAGGATACTTCCTGACGTTTATAAGCCGATTTTAAAGAAATAAGAACTATGAACTATTGTCATTCTTTAAACAGAGAGTACTGTGTTATATAATTGGGCTTTTGGTACCCTTCCTCTTATAATAGGTTTTAACTTTAGGCTTAATTATTATTGTATAATTATTAATGTATGCACATTTGTAGACCGTATTTAAGGCTAGAATTTGTTTTACGCCAGTTATTCCCTGATGATGGACGCGTTCGTCCGAAAGCTTGGAAAAGTTTGCTTTTAATATTTTACTAGTGTAACATAATATATATGTTTTTAATCATGAGAGTTCCGAGTAACATAACCACATTACATTTTATTCTCAAGATGATTGTCTTAAAGGCATTTGCATTACTAGGTAAACAGCCTCTCGTGCACTTCAACAGTGATGAGAAATTTGTTATCAATATGTCTCACCTTGTTAACAACGTTCTTATTGCCTTCTTTTGCTTTTTTGCATGCCTTACGAAGTAACTTGCTCATTCCTCTTCATTAGTAATATATGAAAGGATATAAACAGCACAAGCTTAAGGATCTAATACGTACTGAATATCCATGTTAGCTTTCCATGCTCTGATAAAATTTGGGTTGTAAATTTGGACTGTCGGAGGTTATGAAGCCCGTGCATGACCTAATGCACAAAGGGCTGGCGTGGTGCTGGTTGGAAACACACAAGAAAGCGTGGAAAGAAGTGAAACATCTAATCGCAACGACCCCGGTCCTCGCGTACTACAAGCCGTCAGAAAGTCTGGAGATTCAATGCGATAGCAGTCAGACTGGGTTGGGAGTGGCTCTGATGCAGAATGGTCATCCGATTGCATATGCTAGTTGAACACTATCTGAGACAAAGACACGCTATGCTCAGATAGAGAAGGAAATGTTGGCCATTGTTTATGCGGTCGAGAAGTTTAATGACTATACGTTTGGCAGAAAAGTTACCATCTATAGTGATCATAAACCGTTGGAAAGTATTCTGAAGAAACCTCTTCATCGAGCGCCCAAGAGGCTGCAGGGCATGATGATCCGTCTCCAGAAGTACGATATCAAAGTGAAGTATGAGAAAGGAAGTAACATGTTTCTTGCCGATACATTGTTGAGAGAGAGTATACCCGGGGATGAGAAAAGTGGTCCAGAGTTCGAGACATCAATATGATGAAATACCTGCCAATTTCTGATGAGCGATTAAAGGTAATACAACAGAAACAAAAAGCGATGAATCCCTCCAAGTCTTGACGACGGTGATTCGACAAGGCTGACCAGAGCAAAAAGAAGATATTCCAAATGTTGTGGCACCGTATTTCAACATCCGAGACGAGATATCGGTCCAAGATAGTCCAGTGTTTAGAGGAGAAAGAGTGATTATCCCAATAGCAATGAGAAGTAAAATGCTGGGAAAAGTCCACAACTCCCATCTGGGAGTAAATGGGTGTCCCAATCGAGCTCGAGATTGTTTGTACTGGGCCGGTATGTCCAACGATATCAAGAACCATGTGTCAACCTGTGAAGCCTGTCGTGAGTACGAGAGAAGTCAGCCAAAGGAAACTTTGTGTAGTCATGAAGTGCCAAGTCGACCGTGGCAACGTGTAGGAATAGATCTATTTGAACTAGAGGGCAAGTACGATCTAGTAACCATGGACTACTTTAGTGATTTCTTTGAGCTGGATCATTTGAAGAATATCTGCTCAGTATACATCATTAGGAAAGTCAAGAGTCATTTCGCGAGACACAGCATACCGGGACAGGTGATAACAGACAATGGCCTGCAGTTCCGTGGCAAACGACTTCCAGATATTCACTAAGGAATGAGACTTCAAGCATATGTCACCTGTAGTCCATACCATAGTAAAGCGAATGGTTAAGCCGAAAGCGCAGTAAAGGAAGCTAAGAAGATTCTAAGAAAGTCAAAGAAAGCGAAGTCAGACGTGTTTTTGGCTGTACTTGACCATAGAAACACCCCCTCCGCAAGTATGAAGAGTAGTAGTCCAGCCCAACAACACCTATTAAACAGGCGAGCACGAACTTTGTTGCCAACAACAGCGAAGCTACTACAACCACAAATGATTGACAGCGGTATCGCGATAGAGAAATTGGCGGAGCTGAAAAGACAACAAGCCAAATATTACAACAGGGGAGCTGTTGAATTTGAATCCTTTGGATGAAGAAGATGTGGTCAGGGTAAAGAAAAGAGTGGGAGAAAGGTGTGCTGCGAAAACGTCTAGATCAGAGATCGTATGAAATAAAGACACCATGTGGTATACTAAGAAGAAATAGAGTGCAACTAAGGAAAACCAACGAAGCACCTCCAGATATCGAGCAGAGATCAGCTATGGATGATTTGACACCATTGTCAATCTGGATTTGACTCAGGAAACCAAACGGGCCCTTCTAATGAATTGGGCAGTAGTGTTCTGATTGGTTTTCTATTCCATCCCTCAAGAAATAACTGCAAGTGGTGATCTATGCGAGGCTGATATACAACTGTAGGCACCAAATGTGTATTTCGTCTGCAGCATTTAGTAAACCAACATCCTCCATGTGGTGGAAGAGGTTATAATATACATAAGCACAACCTGTAAATACATCCCTCCACAGCCTTTCTGAAAAGTAGAATGTTCAATTTATAGTCCGGTTTTGAATACTGATTTGACCCATTTCCTTTGGCCTGCACCCTGTTACGTATGTAACTGGTGGTTGAATAAACATTTATTGCTCCGGCGGCAGTGCCGGAGTTGAAAATTTGCCCTGGTTTTGTTTTGTTTTTTATTTTTCGTCGTCGCAAGGGTGTAATGGCACAAAATATACTAGTATTTGAAATGTGTATGTGACCGTATTTATCTACATCCCAGTCTTGTCTCCCAAGAGTTGTGGTTAACAGCTTTGGCTAATTCTCCGATGTGCGATTCGATTTCGCTCGCATGATATGGCAATTCCTTCAAGAGGAACAAATAAACCGTTCTTTTCATGCTGTTCGATTAAGTTTAGTCGTAGTTTGCACAGGATTGAAGATTTAATATAACTATGTAAGCGTGAATTCCAAAGGCAAAGTGTAAGACAAAGCGAATGTATCATGCGGTTTATTTACATTTTTGAACGATGAACTTCTATACTTTTTAAAGTACGATGTGCTTCTGAATTTCGCGATCGAATATTTATAGGTTCGCAAGGCATCTAAATGCGAATATGAAATGTATTGTTTATGTTCAGAAGCTCTATATTAAAGACTTGCATGTGCATTGGAGTTAATGCCAGAACAGGCGTCTTGTTTTACAAAAGATTTATAGCGCTGAACCTCTTCCTAAAATTTAACAAATATAACAGAGTTATTCAATAAATATGTTGTTACCAATTCTCTGATTGTGTACACTTCTTTCGGCTATGAAACTTCCTCGGTCTGGGCCTCTGTCTTTACGTGTCAACATGAAGCATGCCACATCTGCATTTTCTCCACCATGATCTCCTATTACAGGCATTAGCACAGTGAATATTCAACAACTTTTATAGTCATACTTAGACATTTTTGAAACCTCCGATAGTGATACTAAATCAAAATCACTCACCCCTCGCATGTGAAGGCAAACCATATCTATCAACACCACTTACAAAATATGATAAAACTGTGGTAGCTTTATTATCTGTTGAACACTTTATGAAAATGATCATATGGGAAAAACCGTCAATCATGCCGTGTATCACCAATCGCCAACGTATCAGCTTATGATTACCATCAAGGTGATACAGAACTCTAGGTGAGAATACGTTATAACCTCTTTGCTGTATGATTCGACTTTCCAATATTCTAAGGAGAACCTTATTTGGATCCACTATGTGCATGCTTCTTCTCACCCTTATCTCCTGCACACAAACCCTCCTGCCGCAAGATGGCCCAACATTCGCCTGTATCCACAGTTAGGAAATAGCTTGAGAATCTGAGAAACTTGTTCATCTTGGTTTTCATCCGTTATGTCAGAATATTTTTCGCTAACTGACAATGAATACAATGACAATCTTCTTTTCACCATACTTTTCGATGTCCCAAGCATATCTGTCATTTCTGGAACTGAAAACCCCAAATCTAGGAATAGTTCAAGCTGTTCTGGAGGTATATCAAAGTAAGGTCTTCCTTTGTCACCTGTGAAAATCTTTGAAGTGTGATATCCATCAGCCCGAGAGTGCTGCTGGCTTTCTCTTACTATTCCCTCGGCGCCATCCAAACATCGATAAATATCCCCTTTACATCTGGCGAGCATATTTTTCAGTTAGTCAATTCAATATGTTATGCTATCATAAGTATCCTCATTTGGCATGGTTTCAATCATACGACATATTTAACAGATATTTCTTGTATAATGTTCAAGCAATTGCTCTCTAATATCTTCAACGACTCGTGATATTTTCGTGATAATTTAAACGCAATTACATATTAGGCATTTTTTTTGGCAATCACATATACATTTTTACACTGTTCACAAATTGCTAAAATATTAATTTGTAAGTGGGGATTCGTTTTGGATTCCTTTTTTGAGATATTTCTTCTCAGTTTCTTCTTTGTTTGGCCATGTTCGCAATTTCAAATTTTCAATCTAGCAAACTGACTCGTATATATACCTGGAGTAACATTACAAGTGCAGTCCAGCCGAAACATCGTGTGATTTTTTACCCTTATGCTGTGTATTGTTAGTCCATTAATTCTCTCAAGCTACAGATATGCATTGCAACACATCTGAAACAAACTCAAGGTGTTGCTCTCTAAAACATGAAAATGCAACACTCACTCATGATAATTTTAATTCTGAACCATGGTATGCAATTTTTTGCTATTCATTTCCTTTTCCTCTATTATGGCATGCTGTTAATGCAATAATCACACTGATTTCTATTGTAGAACATGCGATGCTAACATACCAGCAGACCATTCAATGATGAGAACAAACGTGCATGTAAATATAGGATGCAGAATGTAAATATAATGTGGTGCTGATGTTGAGGTAGTTTTTAGATAAAAACACCAAACCACAC